GCTGTTAAAATTTTTGTTTGAGAAACCCACTGTATTAAGCTTGCCTAAGAACCTCTAGCTCTGACAGTCTACTCGATCCACAAAGCTGTATAGTGCCCACACTCTAACTCAACCTGCAAAACCAAGCTCCAATCCTCTCTCTTCCACAACGCCTTCCCAAATACTCAAGGCAAAAAATAATTTTTATTCTATTGCACTTTGTGTATGTGTTCACTCAAATATTTCACCCAGTTTTCTAAGAATTAGAGTCACTAGTATGGCTGTCTGTCTATACAACTAATCCAAGCTTTCTCTGCCATGGAACTATTGCTATTTTGGACCAGATACTTCTTTGCTGCAGGGGATTATGTCTTCTGCATTTCAGGAAGTTAAGCAGCATCCCTGGCTTTACCCACCAGGTACAATAGCACCACAACCCCAGGCAGGGCAATCAAAAGTGTTCTCCAGATATTGCCAATGTCCGCCAGGGGCAAAATCATCTCCTGTTGAGAACTACTGAACTAAAGGAAGTATATAGTATGCTGTAACAGGAGTATTAAGAGGAACCAGATCTTACACTGCAAATAAGGCATTCACTAGCTGTGTGACCTTGGGCAAGTAATCTAACCTCTCTGAATTTTATAGTTCCTCTTCTACCAAATAAGGATATTAATAGCATCAAATTCATAGATTGGCTGTAAAGATTAAAATAACTTTAATAAATTAGGGGTTTATAATAAAGTCGGTGTGTGTGTGTGTGTGTCCAAGTGCTTGTGTATTTCAGAAGGCTTGGGAAGGGGAATATGATGAGACTGGAATTTGGAGTCTTACTGCAAAAGCATTAAAGGAAGCCTATTGCCAATAACCAGTGTTGTCACTAAATCATTAACTACATCATCATTGTCATCACTGAAGTCATTCCTAAATTCCAAAGTGCAACAATTCACCTCAATATTTCCATGGTCAACACTCTCTGGACAGTCATGATAGCTTTTTGTAGATCAATATATATTTGTTAATTTGGGTTACTGAGTGCCTTCCCAGTCCTCATCATAAGTTTATTTCATGAATATTCTCAGAATCAAAGTGCTGGAAAGGAAAAGGTGGCACTATTTCATACTCCGTGAACTTGGCATTTCATTAGCGTCTGGTGCACTTCATTTCTAGTCATTTCTGTGAGCCCCTTAAAAAGAGGAGGGGCCACGGGGACAGAGAGAGCAACAAGCTGTGCGTTGAAGGAGAGGCAGACAAAAGGCCAGGTCCCCGAGCTGGCTCTTGAGCATTTCAAACACCTGAACTCAATCTGTGTGACAGGAACGCGGTGTCATCTGATATGAATGCCAACAGCCACATACTTCTCTCTAAAAGCTTTTATATATCCACCCCGAGCTCCCTCTTTTATTCCAGTCTCAAAAACAGAGGGTCAAGTTTTAACAACTCCAGTTACATAGGGCCTGTGTGCCGGTTCGGGTAAAGTGTGTGTGTGTGTGTGTGTGTGTGTGTGTGTTGGTGAATGTTCTTCTAGACTTTACAGCGATTATTTACCAGCTGAGTGACTGGGCCCCAGGTTTGCTTCAGGTGCTGTCTGCCAGCAGCTCACTGCCTCGAGTCTCAGTTTTCCTTATTACAGCCATCACTTGCTTCCTGTTTACACTGGGTAAAGAGACCGGCTTTCACGCCTGCAGGCCCACATTCCTTAGCTGAGCAGGTTTTCCAAGCCTTCAGGCTACAGGTTTCAGCCTCCCTATGCGGTA